CAGATGTTCGTGGACGCTGAGTCGGTCAAACAGGACGTTGTGCTGGGGACAGATCCCGAGGTTCTGCCGGATCCGGTCCATCTCCGTGCGGATGTCGTGCCCATAAATGGTCGCTGAGCCGGAGGTGGGCGGGAACAAACCCGTGAGGATCGACCTATCAGAAGCAAGAACACACTGGAATCAGAAACATGACATTCTGTCGCCGTGGAAATTTTGTGATTTTAAGAAGTTAGTTTGATCTTCGGTGGAAATTTACCCTCACGCATGGAGGCTGGTGGTGTTTTTGGGGTACTCACATGGTGGTGGTCTGTAGGTGGTGTTTTTGGGGTAATCACATGGTGGTGTTCTGTAGGTGGTGTGTTTTTTGGGGTATCAATGGTGGTGGTCTGTAGGTGGTGTTTTTGGGGTAATCACATGGTGGTGTTCTGTAGGTGGTGTTGTTTTTGGGGTACTCACATGGTGGTGGTCTGTAGGTGGTGTTTTTGGGGTAATCACATGGTGGTGGTCTGTAGGTGGTGTTTTTGGGGTAATCACATGGTGGTGGTGGTATCACATGGTGGTGTTCTGTAGGTGGTGGTGTTTTTGGGGTACTCACATGGTGGTGTTCTGTAGGTGGTGGTGTTTTTGGGGTACTCACATGGTGGTGGTCTGTAGGTGGTGGTGTTTTTGGGGTACTCACATGGTGGTGTTCTGTAGGTGGTGGTGTTTTTGGGGTACTCACATGGTGGTGGTCTGAAGGTGGTGTTTTTGGGGTACTCACATGGTGGTGTTCTGTAGGTGGTGGTGTTTTTGGGGTACTCACATGGTGGTGGTCTTGCCCGCCCCGTTGTGCCCGAGGAAGGACACCACCTGGTCCTCGTGCAGGTTCAGGCTCAGTTGGTTCAGGGCCATTTTCCCGTCGGGTTTATAAACTTTGGTGAGTTTATCGATGCAAACGACGAGAGGAAGATGAGCAGGTTCTTCCTCCAAACCCCGCAGCTCCTCTAAAACAAGACCAGGACTCAACTAGGACTCAACCAGAACTCAACCAGGACTACATCAGGACTACACCAGAACTCAACCAGGACTACACCAGGACTCAACCAGGACTAAACTAGGACTCAACCAGGACTCAACCAGGACTAAATCTGAACTAAACCAGGACTGAACCAGGACTGAACCAGGACTAAACCAGGACTACACCAGGACTCAACCAGGACTACACCAGGACTACACCAGGACTAAACCAGGACTAAACCAGGACTGAACCAGGACTAGAGCAGGACTAGAGCAGGTACCTGATCGGCGCTGGTCCATGGCGCAGGCTTGGTCTTCCTCCATGATGCTGAGGTGGGTGGTTCCTCCTCCACAACACTCCCACGAGTCGACGCGCCCGCTGCCCGTCCAGTACGACCTCTGCAGGGGGAAGAACCAGGGCCGAGGGAGCCCGTACATGCCTGGGCACACACACACGGGCACATACACACACGGGCACATACACACAAGGGCACATACACACACACAGACACACACACACACAGAACAGAGAACAGAGTCAAATACAAAACCTTTAAAGTCTGTTCCCCTTAAAATCTCTCAGGATGTTGGGGTCTTGGGGTGTCTTAGGTTCAGGGTATCGGGTATCGGGTTATCGGGGTTTTGGGGTCTTCGCGGTCTTTGAATCTTGGGGTATCGGGCCGTTGGGGTGTTGGGGGCTCAGGGTCTTGGGGTGTAGGGGTCTGAGTGTGTCGAGGTCTCAAGGTGTCAAAGTCTCGGGGTCTCGGGGATCACGGAGTGTCAGGGTCTCAAGGTGTCAGGATTTTGGGGTCTTGGCGTCTCGAGATGTCTGGGTCTCGAGGTGTCGGAGTCTCAAGGTGTCAGGGTCTTGAGGTCTCAGGGTCTCAGAGTCTCGTGGTGTCAGGGTCTTGATGTCTCGGTGTGTCGGGGAGTCTTTGGGTCTCGAGGTGTCTGGGTCTCGGGGTGTCGAGGTCTCAAGGTGTCGGAGTCTTGAGGTGTTGTGGTCTCAAGGTGTCGGGGTCTTGGGGTGTCGAGGTCTCAAGGTGTCGGAGTCTCAAGGTGTCAGGGTCTTGAGGTCTCAGGGTTTCAGAGTCTCGGGGTGTCAGGGTTTTGATGTCTCGGTGTGTCAGGGGGTCTTTGGGTCAGGGTGTCGGGGTGTCGAGGTCTCAAGGTGTCGGAGTCTTGAGGTGTCGGGGTCTTAAGGTGTTGGGGTCTCGAGGTTTTGTGGTCTTGATGTTTTGTGGTCTCGAGGTGTCGGAGTCTCAAGGTGTCATGGTCTTGAGGGTCTCGGGTTCTCAGAGTGTCAGGGTCTTGATGTCTCAATGTGTCGGGGAGTCTTTGGGTCTCAAGGTGTCAGGGTCTTGATGTCTCGGTGTGTCGGGGAGTCTCTGGGTCTCAATGTGTCGGGGTCTCAAGGTGTCAGGGTCTTTGGGTCTCAGGTTCTTTGGGTGTCGGGGTCTCAGGGTCTCGGGGTCTCAGGGTCTCAGAGTCTCGGGCTGTCAGGGTCTTGATGTCTCGGTGTGTCGAGGAGTCTTTAGGTCTCAGGGTGTCAATGTCTCGAGGTGTCAGGGTCTTAAGGTGTTGGGGTCTCGAGGTGTCGGAGTCTCAAGGTGTTAGGGTCTTGAGGTCTCAGTGTGTCGGGAGGTTTTTGGGTCTCAGGGTGTCGGGGTCTCGAGGTGTCAGGGTCTTGATGTCTTGGTGTGTCAGGGAGTCTTTGGGTCTCAGGGTGTCGGGGTCTCAAGGTGTTGGGGTCTCAGGGTGTCAGGGTCTTAAGGTCTCAGGGTGTCGGGGTCTCGAGGTGTCGGGGTCTTAAGGTGTTGGGGTCTCGAGGTGTCAGGGTCTTGATGTCTTGGTGTGTCGGGGAGTCTTTGGGTCTCAGGGTGTCGGGGTCTCGAGGTGTCGGGGTCTTGAGGTGTCAGGGTCTTAAGGTCTCAGGGTCTCAGAGTCTCGGGGTGTCAGGGTCTTGATGTGTTGGGGTCTCGAGGTGTTGTGGTCTCGAGGTGTCGGAGTCTCAAGGTGTCAGGGTCTCAGAGTCTCAGGGTGTCGGGGTCTTGATGTCTCAGTGTGTCGGGGAGTCTTTGGGTCTCAGGGTGTCAGGGTCTCAAGGTGTCAGGGTCTTGAGGTTTCAGGGTTTCAGAGTCTCGGGGGACTCTGGGTGTCGGGTTGAAAACGAGCACCCCTTCTTACCTGGGTGCACGGCCTCGATGTACCAGCAGAGGACGCCGTAGAGCGCCGCGTCCAGCACCAGCATCATCATGGACAGGCCCAGGTGGAAGTCGTCGCCCTCGACCGGAGACTGGCAGATGGTTCTCCACTGGATGCCCACGCCCGCCACCTCATACAGGGCGAAGTACTTCGAGCCCAGACCGAAGGCCGTGGTGGACATGAGGGACTGGCACCGGACGAGAACGTCAGACCAGCAGAAGTAGTAGTAATAGTAGTAGTAGTAACAGTAGTAGTAGTAGTAGTAGTAGTAGTAGTAGTAGTAGTAGTAGTAGTAGTAGTAACAGTAGTAGTAACAGTAGTAGTAGTAGTAGTAGTAGTAGTAGTAGTAAACAGTAGTAGTAGTAGTAGTAGTAGTAGTAGTAGTAGTAGTAGTAGTAGTAGTAGTAGTAGTAGTAGTAGTAGTAGTAGTAGTAGTAGTAGTAGTACAGTAGTAGTAACAGATAGTAGTAGTAGTAGTAGTAGTAGTAGTAGTAGTAGTAGTAGTAGTAGTAGTAGTAGTAGTAGTAGTAACTAGTAGTAGTAGTAAGTAGTAGTAGTAGTAGTAAGTAGTAGTAGTAAGTAGTAGTAGTAGTAGTAGTAGTAGTAGTAGTAGTAGTAGTAGTAGTAAGTAGTAGTAGTAGTAGTAGTAGTAGTAGTAGTAGTAGTAAGTAGTAGTAACAGTAGTAGTAGTAGTAACAGTAGTAGTAGTAGTAGTAGTAGCAGTAGTAACAGTAGTAGTAGTAGTAACAGTAGTAGTAACAGTAGTAGTAACAGTAGTAGTAATAGTAGTAATAGTAGTAGAAGCACAGAATTTTATCTGTACTGACCACCAGAGGGCAATGTTCCCTTTGCACATGCCATAGAGATCTAGAGACCTTTGCAGTAGTATTTGCAGTAGTATATGCAGAAATATTTGCAGTAGTATATACAGTAGTATACAGTAGTATATACAGTAGTACTTGCAGTAGTATTTGCAGTAGTATTTGCAGTAACAGTAGTATTTGCAGTAGTATTTGCAGTAGTAAATACAGTAGTATATACAGTAGTACTTGCAGTAGTATTTGCAGTAGTATTTGCAGTAGCAGTATTTGCAGTAGTATATACAGTAGTATTTGCAGTAGTATTTGCAGTAGTACTTGCAGTAGTATTTGCAGTAGTACTTGCAGTAGTACTTGCAGTAGTATTTGCAGTAGTTCTTGCAGTAGTAGTACTTGCAGTAGTAGTACATGCAGTAGTAGTATTTGCAGTAGTACTTGCAGTAGTAGTACTTGCAGTAGTAGTATTTGCAGTAGTACTTGCAGTATACTTGCAGTAGTAGTACTTGCAGTAGTAGTATTTGCAGTAGTACTTGCAGTAGTACTTGCAGTAGTAGTACTTGCAGTAGTAGTATTTGCAGTAGTATTTGCAGTTGCAGTATTTGCAGTAGTATATACAGCAGTATTTGCAGTAGTAAATGCAGTAGTATATACAGTAGTACTTGCAGTAGTTTATACAGTAGTATTTGCAGTAGTATTTGCTGTAGTACTTGCAGTAGTATTTGCAGTAGTTCTTGCAGTAGTAGTACTTGCAGTAGTAGTACTTGCAGTAGTAGTATTTGCAGTAGTAGTACTTGCAGTAGTAGTACTTGCAGTAGTAGTATTTGCAGTAGTACTTGCAGTAGTAGTACTTGCAGTAGTAGTATTTGCAGTATTTGCTTTGCAGTAGTATTTGCTTTGCAGTAGTAGTACTTGCAGTAGTAGTATTTGCAGTAGTATTTGCAGTTGCAGTATTTGCAGTAGTATATACAGTAGTATTTGCAGTAGTAAATGCAGTAGTATATACAGTAGTACTTGCAGTAGTATTTGCAGTAGTATATACAGTAGTACTTGCAGTAGTAGTATACAGTAGTATTACAGTAGTATTGCAGTAGTATTTGCAGTAGTTTTGCAGTAGTAGTACTTGCAGTAGTAGTATTTGCAGTAGTAGTACTTGCAGTAGTAGTACTTGCAGTAGTAGTATTTGCAGTAGTACTTGCAGTAGTAGTACTTGCAGTAGTAGTATTTGCAGTAGTACTTGCAGTAGTACTTGCAGTAGTAGTATTTGCAGTAGTATTTGCAGTAGTAGTATTTGCAGTAGTACTTGCAGTAGTACTTGGGTTGTAGTACTTGCAGTAGTAGTATTTGCAGTAGTATTTGCAGTAGTAGTATTTGCAGTAGTAGTATTTGCAGTAGTACTTGCAGTAGTACTTGCAGTAGTAGTACTTGCAGTAGTAGTATTTGCAGTAGTATTTGCAGTAGTATTTGCAGTAGTAGTATTTGCAGTAGTAGTACTTGCAGTTAGTAGTATTTGCAGTAGTATTTGCAGTAGTAGTATTTGCAGTAGTAGTACTTGCAGCAGTAGTATTTGCAGTAGTAGTATTTGCAGTAGTACTTGCAGTAGTACTTGCAGTAGTATATACAGTAGTATTTGCAGTAGTATTTGCAGTAGTAGTATTTGCAGTACTATATACAGTAGTACTTGCAGTAGTATATACAGTAGTATTTGCAGTAGTATTTGCAGTAGTACTTGCAGTAGTATTTGCAGTAGTACTTGCAGTAGTAGTACTTGCAGTAGTAGTACTTGCAGTAGTACTTGCAGTAGTAGTAGTAGTTTGCAGTAGTAGTATTTGCAGTAGTATTTGCAGTAGTAGTATTTGCAGTAGTTAGTAGTAGTTTGCAGTAGTATTGCAGTAGTATTTGCAGTATTTGCAGTAGTAGTTTGCAGTAGTAGTATTTGCAGTAGTAGTATTTGCAGTAGTAGTATTTGCAGTAGTATTTGCAGTAGTAGTATTTGCAGTAGTAGTATTTGCAGTAGTACTTGCAGTAGTACTTGCAGTAGTAGTATTTGCAGTAGTAGTATTTGCAGTAGTAGTATTTGCAGTAGTAGTAGTAGTAGTATTTGCAGTAAGTAGTATTTGCAGTAGTAGTGCAGTAGTACTTTGCAGTAGTAGTACTTGCAGTAGTAGTAGTTTGCAGTATTAGTAGTATTTGCAGTAGTATTTGCAGTAGTAGTATTTGCAGTAGTAGTACTTGCAGTGGTAGTATTTGCAGTAGTATTTGCAGTAGTAGTATTTGCAGTAGTAGTACTTGCAGTAGTAGTAGTATTTTGCAGTAGTAGTATTTGCAGTAGTAGTTGCAGTAGTACTTGCAGTAGTAGTAGTAGCAGTAGTAGTATTTGCAGTAGTAGTATTTGCAGTAGTAGTAGTATTTGCAGTATATAGTACAGTAGTACTTGCAGTAGTAGTAGTACAGTAGTATTTGCAGTAGTATTTGCAGTAGTATTGCAGTAGTAGTATTTGCAGTAGTACTTGCAGTAGTAGTACTTGCAGTAGTAGTATTGCAGTAGTATTTGCAGTAGTAGTAGTAGTATTTGCAGTAGTATTTGCAGTAAGTAGTAGTAGTAGTAGTAGTATTTGCAGTAGTAGTATGCAGTAGTAGTATTTGCAGTAGTATTTGCAGTAGTAGTATTTGCAGTAGTAGTACTTGCAGCAGTAGTATTTGCAGTAGTAGTATTTGCAGTAGTAGTATTTGCAGTAGTACTTGCAGTAGTAGTATTTGCAGTAGTATTTGCAGTAGTAGTATTTGCAGTAGTAGTATTTGCAGTAGTACTTGCAGTAGTACTTGCAGTAGTAGTATTTGCAGTAGTAGTATTTGCAGTAGTATTTGCAGTAGTAGTATTTGCAGTAGTAGTATTTGCAGTAGTATTTGCAGTAGTAGTAGTAGTAGTAGTAGTATTTGCAATAGTATTTGCAGTAGTAGTAGTAGTAGTATTTGCAGTAGTATTTGCAGTAGTAGTATTTGCAGTAGTAGTAGTACTTGCAGTAGTACAGTAGTAGTATTTGCAGTAGTATTTGCAGTAGTAGTATTGCAGTAGTATTGCAGTAGTAGTATTTGCAGTAGTAGTATTTGCAGTAGTATTTGCAGTAGTAGTATTTGCAGTAGTAGTATTTGCAGTAGTACTTGCAGTAGTACTTGCAGTAGTAGTACTTGCAGTAGTAGTAGTAGTAGTTTGCAGTAGTACAGTAGTGCAGTAGTAGTATTTGCAGTAGTACTTGCAGTAGTAGTATTTGCAGTAGTAGTATTTGCAGTAGTAGTACTTGCAGTAGTACTTGCAGTAGTAGTACTTGCAGTAGTAGTATTTGCAGTAGTACTTGCAGTAGTATTTGCAGTAGTAGTACTTGCAGTAGTACTTGCAGTAGTAGTACTTGCAGTAGTAGTATTTGCAGTAGTACTTGCAGTAGTAGTATTTGCAGTAGTAGTATTTGCAGTAGTACTTGCAGTAGTAGTATTTGCAGTAGTAGTATTTGCAGTAGTAGTATTTGCAGTAGTACTTGCAGTAGTAGTATTGCAGTAGTAGTAGTAGTACTTGCAGTAGTAGTTAGTAGTACGTAGTAGTAGTAGTTTGCAGTAGTAGTATTTGCAAGTACTTGCAGTAGTAGTATTTGCAGTAGTAGTATTTGCAGTAGTACTTGCAGTAGTAGTATTTGCAGTACTCACGGCGATGCACTTCTCGAAGGCGGTGATCTTGTCGTGGGCCACTTCCTCCCTGATGGCGATGTACATATAAGGAACGTAGCTCAGGAAGTAGATGATTCCTCCACAAGCAGAAGCCAGTTTGGCCTTAGAATAAAGAACCGACACCAGGAAACTGTGGAGGGACCAGAACACGTCACCTCTGACCCTCTGACCCTCTGACCCTCCTCTAACCCTCCTCTGACCCTCTGACCCTCCTCTAACCCTCTGACCCTCCTCTGACCTCCCCTCTGACCCTCTCCTCTAACCCTCCTCTGACTCCTCTGACCCTCCCCTCCTCTGACCCTCTGACCCTCCTCTGACCCCCTCTGACCCTCCTCTAACCCTCCTCTGACCCTCTGACCCTCCTCTGACCCTCCTCTAACCCTCCTCTGACCCTCTGACCCTCCTCTGACCTCCTCTGACCTCTGACTCTGACCCTCTGACCCTCTGACTCCTCTGACCCTCCCTCCTCTGACCCTGACCCTCTGACCTCTCCTCTGACCTCTAACCCTCCTCTGACCCCTCTGACCCTCCTCTGACCCTCCTCTGACCCCTCCTCTGACCCTCTGACCCTGACCCTGACCCCCCTCTGACCCCCTGACCCTCTGACCCCCTCTGACCCTCCTCTGACCCCCTCTGACCCTCTGACCTCTGACCCCTCTGACCCCCCTCTGACCCCCTCTGACCCTCTGACCCTCCTCTGACCCTCTCCTCTGACCCT